CTCTGCATACTGATTTAACTATGTATGCTACATAATTGTAAAAAGAACATACCAGCTATTAAATATCTTTTATGAAATATAGGATAATTAAGTGTAATAAACTTAGAGAATAATTGTCATATTTGAGATGTTTTTCCTACTTCTTTTATGCTTTGTCAATAAATATAATGCTAACATCTTTTCCTGATCCATACTAATAAACTCCATTTATTTACAAAATTATATATAATTTAAAAACGCCGCCTCAATTTTCAAAGCAAGCGTTACGTTTTTTTTATTAAAAAAAGTAACGTAAACGCTCAATTTGTGCGCACTATAAGATAAGGTAATTAAAAAATAAAAATTTTGGAATAAGGGTTTCATAATTAATTTGTATACAAAATAATATTTTGTAATAAGAAGTCAGCCTTAACAATTTGTATAGTATTAGTAATATTAGTTTCTGAGGATTTATATAAGTGTTTAAAATTGGAACTCATGAACATGATTATCTTTAAATAATATAAAATATAGAATTAGTAAAACATTCACATCAAACATTTTATATATTATAAATTGAAAATAAATGTATGATTCGGGACATGTTTCGTATCTCTCAAAAAGTTTTTCAAAAGTTTTGCAAACTTTTGAGAATTTTTTTTAAAAATTTAGGACACAGCCTTAAGAAAGAACTCATAGCAAATAAAAATCATGCGAACTTAAATTTGATTAATTAACAAAGATATCAATATTTTATCTCGGATCGATCTTCTTGATTATTGGAAGGTTAATTCTCAAATCCAACTTTTGCAAATCTTGCACAAAAGTCTTTCCTGCTACAGGTATTTTATCAAAATTAGTTTTCAGTATAGCTGGTGATATAATTAGTGTTGTCAAACGCCTAGATTTGAGTCGATTTTTAAAAAACGGCATAAATATTTTAGCCGGAAAAATATAGCCAAAGCCGATTTCGCTAATAGATGTCCAAACCTTTGTGCCACCTATAGTCAAATCTTCAGGCTTGCGTGATATTTTTATGGCTAAAATATTGAGTTAGCCGTTCCAATAGGCTCAAATTGAGCTACTTAACAACCTTAGACAGTCCTCATAAGAGATACTTATTATAAAATAAACTTGAGGCGCTTATCTTTATAATGATAAATATCCAATATAATTTAATTACTTTATATTAAATAATTTTATTATTTTATTAATTGTTTAATTTTATATTTTAATAAGATATATAATTTGTTTTACAGAAAATTTTATATGAATATATATACTGTGCTAGTGCTACCATATAAATGTATACTAATTTGTATTAAGGGTAAAATAGATAAGTTAAAATTCTGATCATGAAAAATAATAATATGCAACTATATATATAATTATTCTATAAATAAGACATTATTTACTATTATCTTATAAATAAAAACCTTTCTACAAATTTGAGACATATTTTTCAATTTTAAAGCTTTGAAGCCGTGTCCTAAGTTGGCTTAATACTAGGGATGTACCGATATTTTTTATCGGATCGGATTGGGCAGATATTTCATCCATTTAGAAATATCGGTTTCATAGGCCAATATTATAAAATTTTCCGATCCGATAAAAAATGTCGTTTTTAACAAAAATAAAATGTTATAATTTAAAAAAAAGTTATATCTAAAAAACCATTTTATTTTTATAAATTAAATCGAAATCCATTTTTATGTTTATTTTTTTAATAATAATAAATTAATAAACATTTTGCCATATTGTTATTTTTTTGCGCATTCTGTTTAGTTTATAAAAGTGTACGATAATCTCTTCAGAATCTGCTTTTAGTGAAGCGGGTGATATTGAGAGTCCCCATCGCAGCAGGCTGACCTCTGATAAATTGGAAATTTTGGTATTTCTAAAAAGAAATCTTCGATATATTAATTTTAATATATTTGTTTTTTACTTATTATGTAAATAGATTAATGTTATTACTTATTATATAAATAAGTTATTTATCAATAAAAATATTTTATACACTTTTAGAATTGCAATTGAATTGAATATAAACTATACTATAACTGATCATTATAATATATTTAAAAGACATTATGTTACGGTATAGTTAAATTATAAATGTTATACTAATAAAAAATATGTTAAAAATTAAAACCATTGGTATCTTTACAGTATACAAAATTAGATAATATCGGATCGGTAATCGGCCGATATCAATTTAATATCTGGAATATCGGATCGGCCTCCAAAAAGTGGTAACGGTACACCCAACGTAACACTGAATAGCCAAAAAAGCAAAAGAAATTTTTTTTAAAAAAAGACGAAAAAAACAACCAAAAAAAGGAAAATAAAATCCGAAAAATAATGCCACCACTAGTGCTGTAAAGTAACGTTAAAAAGTAACTTCGTCACCAATGGCGTTACCGTTTTTAAAGAAAATGAATGCCATTTTTTACTTCCTAATAGAGGTAACGAGTAACGGTAACGCGTTTTTTGAGTAACAGTAACGGGAAACTCGTTACTCAAATTTTTCTTAAAAATATTTAAAAAAAGCATATTGTATTATAAAATTACTTTTATTTATTTTTTAAATTTTATAAATAATTTAAGCCGAGTTTTTAATTCATATCAACCACCAAATTCCTTCTTTTTTATTTTAAATATTCAGTTAAAATTGTTAATTTAACTAAAATTGAAATCAATGTATGTAAATTAATATTATAATTTATTTTATAAAGAATATTTTGCTAATTTTACATTTTCTTCAGATGGAAATGAGTAGCCTGCCTTGGTTTTAATATGAAACATTTTTTTTACACCAATGAAAACTAAGGGTACAAAGTTTACATTATGTAAGTGTAAATTGTGTCCCAACTCAAATATTTTAAATCATTTGTGGAATAAACATGATTTAGCCATTTCCAAGGAAAAAATGGGATATTTGATTAAACTGATTATAACAAAATGGAACTCCTTTTATAACTCCGTGAAATTAATATAGTTTTATTAAGGTGAATGGTCACACATTTGACGAATCTTATAATAAATAAATTACGGATTTTATGGCTATATATAATTTTATAGGTTATGGAACCTGTTCCTACGGCTCTTTTGATTTTAGAGGGAGAAGAAATAATGCATTTGGGAAATCTCACTCTCATGATAACTATTTTAATAATAATAAAAATGACTTTAAATAATTTCATTTTGTAAGCCACTATTAATGCAATTCTGAAAGACAAAGATGTGTACAGTTGAAGTTATTGTTCAAAATTTATATTTTGATAATATTTTATTTCAATCGCATATATATTATCAGCAATATTCACTAGATATTTAATCAGATTAACCCTCGTAAAACTAGATGTCAGAGTATCCAGAATTATACAAGTTGGTGAAAATTGTTCTAGGTGTCCCAGCAACTCAAACACATTATATATATTATATTAAACTTAATTACTAGGTTAACGTTGACTGATCATTCTTATCATTAAAATTTATATTGTCGGACCTACATGGAAATTTTAATGATATTTTAAAAGATATTATGATAATTCGCCTAAATAAAATTTTTAAATAGAAATATAATGTTTGTTTATAAATTGTATTGTAGTATTATATTATATATAATATATTTAGTAATATATTATAATGATGAAAATTATTTTTATGTCAATACTAATTAAAATAATTTTAAATGTTTCTGTTATTTTAACTAATTTTAATAAGTCATTATTTTTCTGGTCTCCGAACCCTAACCCAACCGAACCGGGTTCAGAGATTTTTCACTGAACCCAAACCCATTTTTTTAGGAGAGTACACATCCCTGATATTATATACATAGGAAAAAAAATTTTTTTTTGTATATTTATTTTTTAAGTAACGAGTAACCCAACCCGTTAATGAATAGCCAGTAACGCGCGTTTTTTTTCATAAGGTAACAAGTAACGGTAACGCGCTTCTTTTTTGGAGTAGCGTTTACAGCACTACTAAACAAACAAGATAGGGTGTCCTGGTTCATAACTTATTAGCCTATACTAAAAAGCAATTAAGTATCCAAAATGAGCCGACCTAAGACACAGCCAAAAAAGCAAAAGAAAAAATTTTGTAAAAAAAAAAGAAAAAAAACAACCAAAATATAAGAAAAAACAACCAAAAAAACGAGAATAAAATATGAAAAATAGCAATGCCACCAAATACTTAAAATAAACCAAAATAAGGTGTCCTCAAATACTTTTTAGCCTATACTAAAAAGCAATAAAGTATCCAAATTAAGCTGACCTAGGACACGGCCTGAGACTTTTTTTATTGATTAAAACACTTTATAAAAAATTTGTATACAGATTTTTATTATTCCATTATCCTGTATTATATGAAATGCCAAAAGAATCAATGTAAATATCGGTAACGGTGCAGTTTGAAATAAATACCTTATAGGTGAAAAAATTGTGGATCGGTGCATCCCTAGTCCGGATAGTTCTTTAATTCGTGTCCATTATGTATTTTCTCATGTTTTGTCATATAATATTCTTAGTTTAGCCTTTTGTGTGGCATTGATACTATTGGTATATCCGTGAGTTTTTCATTCCTAAATATTCCAAGTTCATGGAATATTTTTATTACAAACAAAATGGTTCCTTGAGCTGAAATAAGTTTAGAAAAGTCGAGTTCAAAATCTGGTAGACAAAAATAATCTTTTTTCGGCTTTGTTCAAAACATTAAAATTTTATTCGAAACCTTTATAGACATTAAATAAAGACTCGTTATGTAAAAACGAAATATCGCGATATCACTCAAGCTACTCCTAATTTATCGCTAAACTATAGCATAGCTGCATAATTTAATATTGTGCACTTTATAATTAGGCATGACTTCAGGCGACATAGCGTTATTTCGTGGTTACTACAAAATAAAAATATGGGCAAAACTGAAAAATTTTGAAAACTTTATTGTTAAATTTCCATAGAAAATAATTATTAATATATAATTAAATTATAACAATTATTATATAAAAATGTAAATACTATTTGAAATAATTTGAGAATTCCTTGAACACTACGCAAATATCGAACGCTCATAATTTGGACAATACGAATTGGATTTTTTTTTATTTAAAACTATTATTTGCTGGACGATGTGATGAGAAAAGATATAAGAAAATCTTTAAATAAATATTTATAACATTTTGCTTTTTTTTTATTACAAAAAATAATTTGTTTTTTTAGTTTGTGCAGGCTTGCTGATATGATTGTGAAAAAGATATTGTTGTTTTGATATTTTTTTTATTGCAAATGAAAAAAAAAATACAAAAATAAAATTAAAAAATAACTATTAAAAACACATTAAAAGTTAAAAATATAATACATAATCATTTTTATAAATAAGGAGAAATATAAAAGTAAATAAAAAAAAATAAATGGAATATGCGTGTTGTTATTAAAATTTTAATATCTCTTTAAATTTAATAATGTTCTATAAAGCAAACAATCAAAATTAATTTATCGTGAAATGAAGTATTGTAGAAGAATTTGTAAATATATTATCATTATGTTGTATAAAAAAATAATGATAATTTAATCTTTTTTATAAAAAAATTCATTGGTAATGAACAAATGGTATGTGAAAAGTTCCGATGGAATCGTGAAACTATTGAATATAGTAAAAAAAAAACGATTATATTTTACTAAAATTTAATCATTTCTTTATTTTAAATAAACAACTGTCGCTATAACTTTCTTATTTAGTTCCTAGTCAAATATTTAATATGGAATAGATCCTAAGTACAATCTTGAGCTTAAATAATAATCATCGGGCTTGGATTTAAATGCTAAATAGAAAAAGATTTCGCATCTTAGCCATACTTTGCCTTTGCCAGCCAATTGTTCATCTGCTAAGAGATTGCTGAATACGACTAGGGAATGATTCCCTCCATTCATTTCCTTCAAGTCTATGATAGTATCCATAGAGGAATAGAATCTAAGGATGAATCGCCCTTAATAGACGTTTGGTTAAAAATTATAGGAGTGAAAAAGAAATTTTTTTGTTAGTTGCTAATCGATCGGTTGGGGATATGAACCCTGAGATCATGAGTTGCTAATTAATCTAGATGACAAAAAGGATGATAGATATGGCTATGAGATTAAGTAAGAAAAAGTTAAACCTACCTGATTTCTTGGTAACTGAATAAGCGAACAATTGAAAAGTGTCAATTTTATGCTTAATATTTTTGCCAGGAATATTTTGAACGTCAAATTTTGGATATGAAATCATTGTTTGTAAAAAAGGGTGATGGAAATATTTGTAAGATTACATATAACAAATAAACGCTGATGTGCCGTTAAGTGGTATAGAATTTTAATAATGAAAAACTTTTGAAAATATCCAAGCACTTTTCTATGCATAGTGGGTAAAAAGTGTAAAATATCTGAAGGAATTTTGCATTTATCCTAATGGAAGGTCAAAGTAAAGCGGTCTGACAAACCGTAATAAGTATGGCCAAGGGGTTTAGCCACCAAAACTTTCACTAAATTTATATAGATGCGCCTTAAAATTTTGGCCATGACTATAATAGTCTTTAATATAGATCTAATATAATCTTATTAAAGTTGGGAACCTGAACTGGTTTGGTAATATTTTTTTTAAAGTACTTCCAGTCCCAAAAAAATGTAAATAATATATAAGAACAATATACAGAGTATATATATAATAATTATGCTCACTTTCTTTTGTTAGAGGCTTGGGTTCCTATATATCTTACTTATTCATGTATCTATAAAAATTTAAAGAGGGATTTCGGCTTTGGTTTATGTTCTAAGATTTATCACTGTTCTGTTAGTTCTGGTTTCTTGTTCAAACTCTGATTCCTATGTATTTACTAATTACAATTTTATGTTTACTCATTAATTCTGTCTCTTCTTTTTTTAAGCTTAAAATAAAATACTGCGTCCAACGAAAATGTTTAAAATTTTATAATACTTAAAATAATATCCTATAAATTTTTTTTTAAAAAAACCATGAGAAAAATTTACATATTTAATTTTGTTTTATTAGCCATAATTACACTAAACAAATTAAACTTGTCCCATAACATTTTGTTTTGCCAAAATCAAGCAGAAAATTAGTCTAACACCACCTTAGCCCACATCCTGATTCCATATTTGTTTTAGTAATACAAATGATTTAAGTACTTAAATTGGAAAAATACAGGAAATTTTTTTTCAATTAAAAGTTTCAGACCAGGTAAAAGTAAATTTAAAAATTGGACTGTCCGGACTTACAGATTCAACAAAAAAGACCAAATTTTTTTTAGGGCTTAACTTAGGCCTCTAAAAATATTCGATATTTCAAATAAGTTGGCAGTTAATATTTAAATATTAAAATGTATTTATCATATTTACAGATTTTTGGCTTGCTCTGTATATTATGTTTGACGGTGACAAAAGCTGAAAGGGACTGGACAGAAGGCTTTCTTCTTATTATGGCGATAATATGTTTAATATTGACTATATTACTTTTATTCGTGTGGCTCTTTGGACTCTACAATACCTTCATTTTACCGTGGAATAAAATAGTTAGAACTTTAATCAAATTATTAGTCAATGGCTAACTAGCTTTAGTTATTTAGTGTAAAGTTTCAAAAAAAATTTTATTTAGGCATGCTCAAAAAACCTTTCTATCAAATATCAAATATATTAGGCTTACTCAAATTATTTATAATTAGTAGAACATGTTGAGTTTTACTATCACCCTCCCTAGCACTGCTACTGCCATTAAAGAATCGATTTAAATTAAATATTATATTAATCATCTTAGCCAAATATAATTAAGCTTTAATTAGTGTTGTTAAACGACTCGTTTTGAGCCGATCTTTAAATACAGCTAACTCAATATCTTAGACAAAAAATATTGCCTAAGCCTCGAGATTTCGTAAATTGATGTCTAGACCTTTGTGCCATTTATGAGCAAATTTTCAGGCTTGCGTAATATTTTCTGGATAAAATATTGGGCTAGCCGTTTTTAAAAATCGGCTCTAATCGAGCCGTTTAACAATTGAATATATAATATGAAAATATAATCTATAAAAGGATAAATTAATAAGACAATTGAAATCAATCTCAATTATAATATAATTAATATTTTATAAGTGAATATTTCTAAATATATTCGATAGAATAGATTATAATGTTTGAACAAACGTAAATAATTATATTCATAATAAACTTTGTTATTTTTTTAAATCATTAAACACAGGAATTAACATGCCATATTTGCGCCGCTATAGGTTATGCCATGGGCTCTACGTTTGTTTTGGTTAATGAATCTAATATAACTGGATACATTTTCGCCTCTGTAATATTTACCTTTAAATTTTGAGTCATTTTAATTTGTATAACCTCTACCAGCAATATTGCTAGTCGAGCTCTTCGAAAAGATTTTTTTTTATAAAGGCGTGCTCAAATTTTTTTTGGTCCATATACATTAAACGTGCTCACATTACATTAGAATAAGAGTTATATTGTAAAGTTAATTGTAAAATAACTTACTTTAACTACATGTTGAAGTTTCTTACAAGTACATTTTTGGGAATAAACATAAGCAAATGCACCTATATCACTACAAAGATATAATGTAGTGTTTATTTGGAGGAAACAATTGAAAGCCATTGTTACTTTTACCTAAACATAATGAGTTAGTTATTTTTATTTTAAACGGTAACTAGTTAGTTAAACAAAACTAATCTAGAACTGATGACCGATCCTCCCTAACAACATGTAAAATTATACAATAATTTATTTATTAAATATGTTTTTTGCATGTTTTCAATATATTAGAAATTTACGTTTTCTTTATCATAATTAGTGATCTACATTGGGCCCAATTTTTCAAGCCTGGCCCGGCCCAAAATTTTTTAGAAAATTTGTCCTGCCCGACCAGATCCCGAACAGAATTTTTTATTATTTGTCCTGAAAAGCCCAACCCGAAATAAAAATAATGTGTCCGCCTGGCCCGAATTTATTTAAATCTAGAAAATTTTAATATTTTTTTGATTGTAATAAAATATTCTACAAATAATATTAGCGCCTAAGAATTTTAAAAATATATCAATTTATTTGACAAAATGTAATGATATCATATATCATATATAAACATTTAAGCCCAACCAGATGGCCAGAAATTTTAAAGAAAAAATATTAGGCACGACCCAGCCCGAACCGAAATTATTTTTTAAAAATAGACGCCAGGCTCGGGCCAGGCTTTGATTTGCAAATCTCTAATCAGAATATTTTTAATGCCTTCAAAAAGTTTTATGATAAAAAGTTGTTTAATTATTAGGTATTTGGATTGATAAACACAAGCATATATGGAATAGGTGCCTATCTCAGTGCGAAATATTAATGAGGCATTTAAATGAAATGGAATGCTTTATACTTGAATTGTTACATTATATGTTTGTGAGATTATAATAAAAATTAATAAATTCTTTTTTTATGCCATATATAATTATTTTAAATTAAAATATAGTGGTAATGTTTTTTCTAATTATTTTTTTTAATATTATTTATTATCCAATACCATGAAGAAGAATATTTTTTTAAAAAAATCCTTGGTATAAATAAAATAATAGATTCCGTAATAAATGAATATTTGCAGTCCTTTTAGGAATTTCTATTTATATGAATTAAAATTAGTTTGAAACCGACTAATCTTATATAAATTTTAAAAGCGAACCTCAACCATGATATTAAAAAATAATTTGACTTTAATTTCGCTTTCTTCTTAAAATAAGTTACAATAACATTGCGAGAAATAGTGCTTATAAGAGATAGAATTTCTACGAGCCAACCTTGTTCGTGGAATTTTCAAACAACAAATTGGAGGAAGATTGTAATTTAAAATCATTCTATTATCTAATCTTCAACTAAAATAAAATCTACTCACTGGCATCTTTAGCTTTTTGAAAGTGAACTATTTAATCGCTTAGAATTAAAATTAAAATGCTCAGGAAAAAAAAATCCCTAAACGCTCAGAATAAATATTGAATGTTCATATTACTTCTTAATGCTCAAATAAAAAAAATCATTTGCCCAGAAAAATTAAAATATAAAACTGAAACGCTCAAGTTAAAAAAATGAATAGTTCAGAGACCTAATAACTTTTCTAAGCATGATTGATTTCAAAAATTTG